TCAAGAACATTTAATTGTACTCATGAAGAACCTGTACATAGACCAGGAAGCTGTTGTTCAAACAGAACAAGGTGTATTAGGCTGGGTTCTCCAGAGAAGTAAAATCAGTAAAGCTTATATATACATATAGGGAAAGAGAAATTTATCTTAGGGAAATGGCTCACACACTTATAGAAGCTGGCAAGTCCCAAGTTCTTGGATCATATGTCAAGCTGGATGCTTTTCCCAACTCATGCAGCTGCAAGGGCTGGTGAACTCAAGGTTGGCAGGCAGTGTACTGGCTGTTGACTCCAATGAACGATGAATCCAAATCTCCAGGCTGAATGGTGGATTGTTCACTCACGGACAGTTGTAGGCAATACAACAGAATCCCAATCCACAGGAGAGTGTCTCTTTTTCCAGGGTGTCCATAAATATATTGGAAGCAGACCACACCCCTAGGGAAACTCCCTTTCAGTGGATTGGCTACTCAAAACATATACATCCATCTGATCACATCATGGGAATAACCCACATCACAATTGCTTAAACCACACAGAATTGTGGTCCAACCAAGATGACACACAGCTCCAACTATCACACAAGGGGATACTGCATGGTTTTAAATTAAGAATGGAGTGCATCAGGGTTGTATCCTTTCACCATACTTATTCAATATATATGCTGAGCAAATAATCCAAGAAGCTAGATTACATGAAGAAGAATGTGGCATCAGGATTGGAGAAAGAATCATTAACAATCTGTGATATGCTGATGACACAACTTTGCTTGCTGAAAGTGAGGATGACTTGAAGCACTTACTGATGAAGACTGAAGAATATAGTCTGCAGTATGGATTACATCTCAATATAAAGAAAACAAAAATCCTCACCACTAGACCTATAAGCAGCATCACAATAAATGGAGAAAAGATTGAAATTGTCAAAGACTTCACATTGCTTGGTTTTACAATCAATGCCAATGGAAGCAGCAGTCAGGACATCAGATGACATATAGTACTGGGAAAATTGGCTTCAAAGGACCTCTTTCAAGTGCTGAAGAGCAAAGATGTCTCCTTGAGGACTGAGGTGTGCCTGACACAAGTCTTGATATTTTCAGTCACTTCATATGCATGTGACACCTGGACAATAAATAAGGAAAACCGAAGAAGAATTGACGCTTTTGAGTTGTGGTGCTGGCGAAGAATGCTGAAAGTACCATGGACTGCTAAAAGAACTAACAAATCTGTCCTGGAGGAAGTGCAGCTGGAATGCTCCTTGGAAGTACAAATGGCCAGACTTAGTCTCACCTTCTTTGATCATGTTATCAGAAGGGACCATTCCCTGGAGAAGGATGCCATGCTTGGTAAAGTGGAGGGTCGATGAAAGAGGGGAAGGCCCTCAATGAGATGGATTGACACAGTGGCTGCGGTGATGCGCTCAAGTATAGCAAGGGTCGCAGAGCTGGTGTGGGACCAGGCGGTGTTTCATTCTGCTCTGCATAGGGTTGTTATGAGTTGGAGATGACTCAACGACACCTAACAATAACAACATTCCCTTGTTTGTACTGCAGAAGATTCCTCCCCATACCAAAAGGTGTTTTGAAAATTAATGAACATCTTGTTAGCTCACTTAAAGTAAGGCTGACAAAGACACTTATAATTTAAGTAGTACATATAGATATTTGGAGCTCTGGTAGCATAGTGGCTAAGGCACTTGACTGCTCACCAGATGGCTGGAGGTTCAAACCCATCAGCCACTCCTCGGAAGGAAGGTTGGGCAATCCTACTTCCGTAGTGATACTGCCTCGGAAACCCAAGGAGGGGTCGCTATGAGTCAGGGCTGACTCGACGGCACATAACAACAACAACAAAGACATTTATAACTATAATTTTAATTAATATTCTAGAAACTACAATATATAGAAGAGGGAAGTTCTGCATTAGGGATTGGTGGAGTGAAGGTCAAATATTTTGAGATTTCATTTCTCAATTGACCAATACTGAGCAGATAACATTATGGTGCCTCTTCCTCACCATCATCTCTCCCAGCAGCATCTTAGCTGTTGTATTTCCGTGGTTAAAAGTAAGGGCACAAATTGTACTTTGAGAAATCCTTTCATTTATTGAAGATGTTATCAGTAAGGTGCTTCAGATTCTGTACAAGGCCATGACTATAAGATGACTGCAAGGTATGAAGCAATACAAGGGTGAAAACCTTTCACTGTCAAATGTAAAGTTTCATCTCATGCATCCCTTGGAGCAATTGACCACAGGGCACCAGAGGAGCAGCATTCACACGGAGGAAATGAAGGACTCACAGGAGTACATAACTATGAGGGGCACAGGGGGAGGTGGTGGTTATTCGGCAGGGAGGGGAGGAGAGTCGGTTAAGGTTGGGGATGACAATTGGGGAGTGAAACCAAATACACATGAAATGTTGAATGTAAAACAAACTCTGCTCTGTAAACTTGCACCTAAAGCACAATAAAAAAAATAAGAATAAAAAAAGACTCATCTCAATGAAGTAGAAGAAATAGACACTTGTAGTCACTTGACTTAAGTAGACTCAAACACAACATGTCTTTGGCTTCTGGGTTTCTAAAGGATGGGGCAGACGAGCATGCTGGGTTACATAGTTTTCATTTATGGTAACAGGAAGAATTTAAATTCAAACACAAAGAGTGTTTTTTTGATATTGAGAACTACTCTAGGAGCAACTCTATGGGAAGCATCAGTAAGGCTTACAATGATAAGCTTCTTGAAGAATAGACCTATATTTTTGACATAAATCACATAAAATGGTACTCACAGGCATACTCTTAGATAGGATCTTATACATTTAAAAGTAAATCTTGTTTTAATAAAACCTGATATAAGATGGA